TTTTATCATTACTGTTTCATTAGGAACACCGACGCAGCTCACACTAGTTTTTAGCTAGTTATCTCTTTTTATAAATAATATATGTATCTAATATTATCTAATATTATCTAATCTAATCTAATATATCCTTAAAACCACCTACCATTTTCAATGAGGTGATCACGCAGAGCGGCCTTAATTTTTTGTATTATCCTCTATATTAACAATAACTCCTGGAAGTCTATTCCATTGATTGATCGCCTAATGAAAGAAACTATTTGCATGCCGATTACAATTTGAATGTAGTCGTAAAAAGGTCATAGAGTTACGTTCCCTTGAAATGCGTGGTAAAGGAGTGAGATACAAGTCTCTCTCGATATCAATAGTCCGATATACAATCCGATGAAACATCCTGCTAGAAATATTAGATACGTGTGTTTAAAATTTTATTTTGTTGTCAAGTCAAAACCGCAGAAGTTGCCTGCTGTTTCGGTCCTAGAAAATAAAAAGGGGCTTGCTTCTCTTTTTCAACCATCTTTACTAGCTGTCGCTGGTATTGTAGCGTGATATATTGTCTCTTGCTCATGGTAACCTCATTGGGGTAGAGTAAAGATTTCAAAGCCAAGATCTTGAGAGTTCAAAGTGAGTTTAAAGTTGAAAAAAAATTTTTCGTCGAAGAGCAGAGTGTTTGTTTAGTCTCTTGAGCCAGAGATCTATCACGACACATCTCTCGATGGAAGATGGAATTTGAGTTTAGAAGGTTTGTGTGTGTGTGTGTGGGGAAAGAAAACCAACGAATCAGGAGAAAAAGCCGAAGCACAGGAGAGAACGAAGGCGGGTTAAGGCGGGTTCAATCAAGCCAACGCCCCTGAGAGGTCCATGCTTTATCTCTTAGTTTTCACCTTTCCTTTCCTCTTCACTTTTCCCCTTTCTTTAGAGATTTCTCTACCTCTTTTTCTCTACAGTCCTCTCTCTTTCTTTCGTTCCGTCATTGTCAAATTTAACGATTCTTGTAAAATCAGAGTCTTCATCTTAATTGTCATTTTGCCTAGCTCAGTTTAACTTAGTTTTTTTTCTACTCTCTTAATTTTCTTTCTTTCCTACATTGTCACAAATTTCACGATTTTTGTAATGCTAGATACTTTATTATCATTTTTATAAACTTTCTTCTTTTTTTATTATTATTATTATTTTAACAGTAACGATCTTCAAGTCTCCCACGATGACCAAAGTTATGTTCTGCTTCTTTGTCGCATTCTACTTCATCAACAGTAAGTGTCGTCTAGATCCGAACTAAGATTATTGTCCTTTGACTGTTGAATACTCGGTACAGTGAATAGACCTATCCTAAATTCGCTTGATTGGTCAAGAAACAATAGTTTCAAGGGG